TCGAATGTTTTTAATGATGTCATTAATAATCGGCGTGACGAAAAAGATTTAATACAATATACACAAAGTGAAAATTCAATGCAAATCGTCCTAGGTGATCAAGGAAAAAATATTCTTATGAAATTAGCACATATGAATATCGAATATGGTCGAAATCAAGTATTACCGTAAATTGCACAATATCATGTTTATGCTTTTAAATCCTTCTTTTTAGAAAAGCAACTGTGGCCGAATATTTTGATGATCCCGAAGTACCTGATTGCAGTATTGATCGTCCACTTCGATTATCTATTGTTCAAACTTATGTAGTTTGTTTAGTTTTTCATCATTAACATAAATAAAATTTAACTTTCTTTCTAGGATAAAGGAACAATCATTGTTGGTAAAATGGAATCAGGATTTTGTCATACTGGTGATCAATGTATAATTATGCCTAGCCGAAGACGTGTTGAAATTGTCAACTTTTATTTTAATAATAATGAAACATCTTCTGTTAATTGCGGAGAAAATGTTCAACTTAAATTAAAAAACGTCAAATTCGATGTAGGTCTCTTACTATTATTTTTTTTTCTGATGATCATTTTTCGTAAATCTCATGTGGTGCAATTCTATGCGATACTCAACACAAACCATGTGGTTTTGCACAAATTTTTGATGCACAAGTAAAGTATTTGATTTATAAAAAAACCTATGTATATGTTGAAAATAGATCGGCATACTTGAACACGTATCAACCATGTGGCCAGGCTATTCAGCCATTCTTCATATTCATGCTGCTGTTTCGACAGTAAAATTAAAGACGATATTGAAATTAATTAATCGCAAAAACTGATGAAGTAATTCAAGAAAATCCAAGATTTACAAAACAAGATCAAGTGGCTATAGCAAGATTAGAAGTATTACAAGCTGGTCAACTTATTTGTATAGAACCATTTAAATGTTATCCTCAACTTGGATGATTCACACTACATCACGAAGGTCATACTATTGCTGTTGGAAAAGTTCTTCAGATCATCATGTAAGCTGTTTTTTTGTATATTTTTCTTTTATATTTATTTTCACATATAAAGTACAATACTATAAAGTTTAACGTTAATCGTATGCTTTAACCAAATGAAAGCGTTTTTTTTTGAGCATAAAACTTCTTGGCTTGAATTCATAAAACAAAGTCTCTCAATTGCAAAATTGAAATCCGTATGATGAACTGAAAACACAAATATAGAATTCTTTAAATTTTCGAATATTTCTCGTATGATTATTTAGATTTCTGTTCTTACATTGAACTCGAATCCGTGAGATATTTCATTGTTGTTTGATCAATGCTTTGTTTACTGAGGGTGCGTGTGGGTGTGGGTGTGGCTGTGGGTGTATGTGTGGGGTGTTAGTGGGGGTGGGGGTGTGTGGGTGTGGGTGTGAGTGTGGCTGTGTGTGTGACTGTGGATGGATGTGGATGGATGTGCGTATTAATTAATGAAAAATGGACATAAACATCGACCACATCCACACCCACACCCACACACCCACACCCGCACTCACAACCCACACCCACACCGAAACACACATATCCACACCCACCCGCACCCGCACCCACACCCACACCCACACCCTTGACAAAGTTTCCAGAGTGCTTATTTTAAATAACTTTTGTTGTTTTTTTTACAAATCTGTTCTAACGACTAAAAACAGAACATTATATCTTTTCGAAAGTGAAATATAATTACTTCTTGAATTAAGACTGAGAATTTGTAGTAAATACTTCTATCTTTGCAGTAAAAAGAGAAATGTAGACAATCGTGAGAAAAATGAGTATCATTTGGGATGTCTCTTATGTTTTTAAGTGTGTTTAAACGCTTAACAGTTTTCAATGTTTTCTGCCAAAAAAATACTGGGTGGTTTTCGCCATTAAAATTTTTAATACCGAAAATCTGTAAAAAACGAAACAAACTCTATACAAAATGCGGCAAAATATTTTTTTAGACAAAATTTGTACAAAAAAAGTAACATGTTTCTCTACTTGGGTAGGACTTCAGAATAATAGATTTTGATACGATTTTGTTGAAAATTCAATGTGGAATATTTTTAGTCGATACACATGTTTCTACAGCAAAAGTTAGCTACGAAAAATGACGAAATATTAATCATCTCATTATCTACGTTACGCTCGCTATTATACCCTTGGAGAATAAGTTGATATCATATAAAATCTCAAATTTCTGCATATATGAATAACATATCTTATCAACATTTGCTTAACAGTACAGCTGCGAATAAAACAAAACTTGATAAGTGTTGAATTACTATACGATAAAAGAGACACACAGAACAACCTTCATCACTATGTTGGTTGATTACATATTGCCTATGAAATATACGACACTCGTTCTTCATTCGTAAAGAAAGAGGTACGTAGCATATTTGAAGAAGTAATTTCAGCTGCAGAGTAGAACAAAACAGACAGTGAATATTGCTATCATATTTACTAGTATAAAAACTTCTGTGCATGATTTGAAAGTTCAACGAGAATTTCTTATGAGAAACTATAATGATAGAATCTGTTTTTTCGTCGCTTACACCCATACGTGCTTTCATAAAGTTTCATTGTTGTCAGAGAATATCTTGTAACTATTGTAGATCAGTCCAATTCTCAACTTGTAACAGCAGCTTCAACATTCTATAAACACTTTAATAATACCAGGGCATTTCTTTGATGTTGTGTTCGAGAGAACGAATATTTGAAGATTGTTCTAGATATTCCATAACTTTTTTCTGTCGTCAACACTGAAGACTATGTTTGATCTGATTTATTCGCTCTCTCATGATTGATCGGCTAACACTTCTACAGTCAAAGACAAAAATTTAAGCGAAAATGTATTCTTGATTTTTTCTATAATAACGAGCATCGAACTGAAATCCAAATAGTGATTCGGATAGCCAATGAAGAGCTTTATCAAATGCATCCTATACCAAAATTATATAGACGATTTATCGTAGC